AGTTCTTAGAAACATATTAACTTTGTTGTTCTCTAATGTGCTGGATCTGCTAAAAGCAATGTAATGTACCACAGATTTCTGTAATGCACTAACCCAAAAATCCCTTTACGTGACTGCATATCAAAGAGAGAGAATGATAATGAAGGTGATGTCTGGAGCAACAATAGATGTTCTCTTGCTCCCATTCAAATTCTGACGGAACATGCCTCAGTCTCAGACTAAGATAAGAAGATATCTAAAGCAGACAAACCTCTGCGCAAAAAGTCTTTATACTGTCCAGGTAACTTCTCTCTCTTTCACAGTTTGATGACCTCTCCATCACTTAAACAAACACAGAGTGCATGCATGTGTTTGTATGTGTGGTGTAAATTAGCCACCCACTGAAAAAGTTGCTATTTGCCAGTTTATTTAGGGTTTAGCGCTGTGGGGGGTGAGGCAGTGGGGGAAATAGAGATTGGGTGTGAGAGGAGGATCACTGTCCAGCTAATCCTAAATGGTATTTGCATCTCTTTCTCACCACATTGTAAGTATAAGCACAGTACACACATACCATTTAATCTATTAACACTCACTAGGCCTTCAACCAGCAACAGATTTTGATCAAGTCTCCTGCTTGAGCAAAAGATTTTGATCGAATCTCCTGCTTCTGTGATGTTTCTCCTGAGAAAAATACCTCAGTAATGTATCTTCATACAATGTGTCAGAAACAGTAACTGGTATGTTTTCAGTTAGACTAAAATGTGTAAAAAAAAAACTAAAAAAAAACAATATAAAAAAATGTATAATTTGAATATGTTTAACAAATGATTAAGTCTGAGTGAAACTGAACTTTTAAAATGCATGTACATTTACTTAATGTTTTAAACTGTGGTCAGATTTGCCAAGATATCAAAGTATCTTCCAAACTTCAATTATCTGAGCCATATGCATACTATGCAACAACCATTTTCTCATTTTTGTCTGTTTTATTTCTCCTCAAAACATTTTGGAGGAACATCTGAGAAGTCATTAAATAATGACTCAGAACTGTATAATGACATATTGAAGACTATTAAAGAGCCTTTGACACATGAGGGCATGAAGTTCAGCATAAACACACTCCAGGTGACTCAGAATGTCTCTTCACAGTCTTGATACTAGCCTCTTAAAGAGATAATTCACCCAAAAATGAAAATGTTACTGTAAAATTTAAGAACCCGTTCAAAAGAATTATTCGTTCGCGAACCGTACTACACTCAGCACCGTTTGCCTGATGCTATAGATTACAGGTAATCATATTGTAAATAATGTTCAGTTTCTTGCACAGACCAATTGCTTCACCTCAACCGCAGCTGCTGACTTTGATTTTAAGCATCACCAAGGACCACGGTTTTAGCTAAAAATCTTCTTTACTGTTCTACTGAATGAAAAAAGTACACCATGCTATAAAAAAATCACACCATCATCTTGGATAGCCTGAGGGTGGGTAAATTAACAGCAATTTTTCATTTTTGGGTGAACTATCCCTTTAACTCATGAAACTAGAAATCCAATTCTAGAAAACTCGACATAGTTTTTATAAAAACAGTTTTCTAGTGCGAGCTGTCATAGTGAGCATTTCAAGCGCTTGTGGGCCTGTTTTGAAATAAGTTTCTTGCATGGCTGCCTGTGCACATCTCGTGACCCTCTCTCTCTCCTGCAGGTGAGATAAGACTGGAATTTGCTTGTCCTCCAGGAGAGACAGAACTATCATGAGCTGCCAACTTGGTCCCCATATCCTGGCATGAGATTGCAACAAAACCCGGGCACTCAGGGTAGATATCTCTGCACTGAATGGATGTTATGGCTGTGAGCAGATTACTGATGTTTGGGTTGACTTCATGGGTGTGTTTTTTTTTT